ATATTACCACCGTGCTAGAAAGGAGGGCTAATATTAGCACGGTGCTAGAAAAGGAGGGCTAATATTAGCACGGTGCTAGAAAAGGAGGGCTAATGTTAGCACGGTGCTAGAAAGGAGGGCTAATATTAGCACGGTGCTAGAAAAGGAGGGCTAATGTTAGCACATTGATAGCAAGGAGGGCTATTGTTAGCACGGTGCTAGAAAGCAGGGCTAATGTTAGCACTTTGATAGCAAGGAGGGCTAATATTAGCAACGTGATAGAGGAAGGCTATTGTTAGCATGGTGCTAGAAAGGAGGGCTAATATTAGCACTGTGATAGAGGAAGGCTATTGTTAGCAATGTGATAAAAAGGAGGGCTAATGTTAGCACTGTGATACCAAGCAGGGCTAATGTTAGTACAATAATAGCAAGGAAGGCTAATGTTAGCACATTTATTCCAGGTGATGGACCCTTTAAAAAGTGGTAGAAAACATGAATCTATGGCTGATAAAATAAATGCAGTAAAGGTTTTAGCTCCAGCTGAACAAAGCGTTTAAAAGCAGGTGCAGAGCCTTGGAGAGGATGTGACCATATGGATGGAAACAACCTCCGTAAGGCCGGGCATACACTGTACCAGTGTTTTGCCCTTTAGGGGCCGATTCACCAAACAATGTGTTGGATAGGGCCGAGTTTCAGCCTCTGTGTCGTGTCGTATACAGCGGGTAATGAGGGATGATCAGCCTCTCACGGCCACCTCCCCATCAGGAATCATAAGGTCGGGAGAAAATGAAAGATGTTTGAAATATAGTCGGCCCTCCTGAGGTGTCCATGAGCAAATCCTGCTGTTGAAGAAGAGCTACGAGCCGATTTACCGGAACCTCACGCACTGTGCATGTGCAAACAAGGAGTGTGGCTTTTATACGTACAGTGTGAGCAGGTAGATCATCAGTAGATCTTATTAAAAAATTATTTATGTAGATTTTAGTTCTTGATCATCAGAGCGTCGGGTTGTACAGTGGCAGAACAGAGCTGTGGACTTTTAAACCCTGCGGTTTAGTAGGACAGTTTGAGCTGTAGCCGATCATAACGATTAAAAACATTGTACAGTGGATGCCCAGACTTAGGAGCCACAGTTCAGAAAACAAAGTGTTTGATCTAATCTGGAAATCAATAATCAATCAGAGGAGCTTAGCAGGCTTTCATACCCAGCTGGCTGAGGTCCAGGAGGGTCCAGTGCAAACCGACGGGGCAGGACGGGGACAGGGTCCGAATGCTCACCTGGCCATGGATGTCAAGCCCCCACAGGGCATCATGGCAGGCGGACAGGTGGGTCATCTCCACCTGAGCCCACAGAAGACGGGGAACATCAGAGAAGCAGGCGAGGAGAACATGAGAAGATATGGACCTGGAGACCTGATGAACAGCTTTACCTCTGGAGGTAGAGGGACAGAGGAAGGACGGAGCTCTCCGTCTCGATCCCACACACAGAACAGATCCTTCCTGCTCTGGGCCAGCCACAGGAACGTACCTGAAGGACGGTTCACACAGAGGGCTGATCAGCTCTGGCATGGAGCGCTCCAGACCCGACCTGTCTTCTGTTAGCATCTACCTTCTTTATGCGGCACAGAGGAGGATGTGATGAAGGTCCATCTGGTGGCTGAAACAGTTCCCCTCGGGACCACGTTCTGCCAAAATGTTCCTTTTGGAACCAAAAGAAAGCTGTTTTCAGAGCAGAGCTGAAGGCTGCTGGAGCGCTCTGCAGAACTTCACTGACCTATGAGGTTTCCACGGGCCAGATGCAGCTGGTTCCGCCCCGATGCCACCCACACTCCAGAGGGGTTGGCACTGACCAGGCTCGGCTGGCACTGGGAGTACTGCGACAGGAAGGCCACCACCCGCTCCACAGGGCCCCTGGTTACCGTGGCAACACTCTGTGTGGCCTGAAGCAGGGTCTGGAAAAAACTGCCTTGATCGAAGACCACGTAGTCAGAAATGCTGATCTGGAGGAGAGATGGAGAATCAGGTGTGAAACCAGAACTCCAGACAGGGTTCCATTCCTGAATCCCAGAATCCCCTGAATCTCCTGTTGATGCCTTTCAGGCCAAAAGTGTTCCTCAAAACTGAAACCATGAGTGTACCTGCCACCAGTGGTCGTCGTCGCCCTGCGGTTTGGACGGACGGATGCCGGTCCGGAACCAGAGGCTGCCGCTGGCATCTAAGGCCCAGGCTATTCCTCCGCCTCCGAGAGCAATGCAGATGAGCTCCAGCCCCTGAGCCTCGCTGCAGCGCAGACAAACAACCATAATAATAACACGTCTCTTTTGTTTTAAAAAACTCTTAAGTGGGTAAATTAACTCTTTAAACCAAGGGTCTCATATTTGATACATGTGTTTATGAGACCTCGCCTCATCAGTGTATTATTTTTGTTCTTCACATTCCTGATTTAGGAAATAAAACCATGAGCCGAGGTGGATTAGCACCACAGTCCAACTTCAGGCATCTTAAAGCAGGAGTGGTACCTGACGGTGTCATTCTTCCAGCCATCCCCCTCACTGCAGTAGCTGTTCAGTCCTTCTCTGTAGAACAAAGCCTTGTGTTCACTCAGGGCCCAGACCACACCTGCCCTCACGCACACCTGGCTGAACACACAGGGGGAGTCCACTTTGACAGAGCGAGCGCAGGGACGCTCTATGCTCAGACCTGAAAGACACAAACAAAAGATGATGGATGGATGGATGGATGGATGGATGGATGGATGGATGGATGG